AGAAAAGTGAATGTTGGCAGCAAGCCTTGACTTAGGAGGCATCTCTTTGATGGTGCCCTGCAAGAGCCTCCTCCTTGGCATCTGACAAAGCAAAAGAGGGGCCAGGCCAAAGCCACACAACCCTGCTGTCACAGCCAGGCAGAGGTAACGCTGTCACGCCTGTACAGAAAGGCTTCACGGTTTGGAAAACTTAATTTTCTTGAAAGAAAGAGCTCTAAAGAAACAAAATGGTCTGACAGAAGTCTTCTGAATTTTTGTTATTTTCTTTGATAAGAAGCAAAAATCAGGCATGGCTATTTTTCACTTTCCCCCTTGTTTTCCATTATCAGATCAGAAAACTGACAGCTTGTGGTGAAATCCTCCATTTTGGATGTAAAGCCTTTTACTGAAAGGCAGGAGAGCAGGTGGCCCGTGGTGGCCCCCCCTTCGGGTATCATCTTGACAGCAACCCCCTTGGCCAACTACGCCTGTCTCCCCGCTCAACCCTGAGCACCATCAACCTGCTGCTGGGCTCTGGCGTGACCCTGGAGGGGACAGCCCCAGGCCCCTGAGCCACCACTGGTGGACTCACTCTGCCGACCCAGCACAAGGCAGAGATACCACCCTCATGGTGAGGGCTGGTTAGAAGAGGTGGGATATGGGAATCACCTGCCCCGACACAGCCCAGGAGATGTCGGATGTCGGCCAGCTGGGGAAGAGCAGCAGGGTGGAACGCCCAAGAGCCCTGGCATCTCCAGCGGGCACTGCTGTGGCCATGTGTCACCCCTCGAGGGGACTTGCCACCCTGACCTTCTGCTGTTCTCCCTACAGGTGAGCTTAGGATGGTGCACGAAGTTTCTCTGGGGCTGAGACTGGTCTGGAAGGCATCACCTGCAGCAATGATGCTGTCAGCGTCCTCACCCAGCCCGCAGAGTACCAGGACAGCCTTTGACTCGCAGCGCGGCTCCGTTTTCCTTGCTTTCCAGACAAAAAGAAAAGTGGGCGAGCGGTGGGCTGAGTTAGCCATCAGCAGGGTGTAACGAGGGTTTGGAAGGCATCCTGCAAACTTTAAGCAGTCAGGATGGAGCCTCCTGTTCCCTGCGCTACGCAAACGCCACGCTGCTCTCAGCCAGAAGCCTCACACCCCTCCATGGGCGGCAGTCCTGGGGCCCAGATGTGTTTCCTTCCCACACTGGTGACCACTGTGCTCGTTTCTCCACGGCCAGAAACCCACCTGCAGCCACCCTCCTGCATGCAGGGAGAGCGGTGGCACTTTGTCCTCGGGTGTTTGGCAGCACGGGCAAGTCGAGGGCTCGGGATGGCGAGGAACATCGTCCGCCCTGGGAAATCGAACCAAGCTGTAAAGCAGGACTCAGCATCTCCGAGAGCACCCAAGCACCTGGACGGGCCAGTTTACCCACTCGTGGGTACCAAGTCTGCTGGGCTGAACGCTTTATATGAAAGGTTTGATATTAAAAAAGGGCTGCGGTGCCGCCGCATCGTCCCTCCAGCCCCAGGCGAAGAGCGGGGCTGCAGGACCAGCTGCCTCGCAGGTGCTTGCGCGGCCGGGCGACACGCAGCAGGGGAGTCGTAAAGGTGGAGTTTTGATATTTAGCCTGTGTCGCTGTCATTCGTTTCTTTAAATGCCTTTAGCTTCCTTCTAATAAAAGAGAAATCATAAAAAAACCCACAAAGGATCCTTCACCGCCGGCGAATATCAATGCGGTGAGAGGGCGGATTAGTATGCACGGTGCCCGCTCCATCTGCATGTTGTATTCGGTGTGACAACATCCTGGAATACAGATTTGGGCCGTGAGTATCCCAAGAGGTATTAACGATCGTCTATCAGACAGGACGAGGAGCAGTCCCTGCTGTTGTAAACAAGGGGTGTTTTTCTCTGCCTCTTTCTCTGGGGGCAGTTCAGTGATTTGAAACAAGCTCATTCCTGCATCTTGTTAGTTCCTGCTCTTCAGCAGAGTGGCGGGTCATCTCCCTTAGATGAATAAAGACGTAAAACTGGAGGTGTAAAGAGCACCCCATCATCAGCACCCTTCATCTGTTGATGGTGTCAGCTGCCATCCCCCTGAACCGAGGATGTGCTTCCCACGGGACACACAGGGTTCCCCCCTGACAGAGAGCACCCCAGAGACCCCAGCATGGGGACAATGCTCCCACCCAGGACATGCAGACAGGCACTGGCAGCAGGCAGAGGAAGGGCTTGTTCCCTTGCGTTCGGTGGCAGCAAGCAAACCTGGCGAGGCATCTCCATAGGGTAGATGGACCTTGGGCAATCCCACGGTGCAGACGGACATGGAGCAGCTCCATGGTGTGGATGGATTTGGGGCATCCCCACGGCAAGGACAGGCAAGGGGAAAACCCACAGCACTGATGGACACAGGGTACCCCCATGGCACAGACAGACACAAGGCAACCCCACAGCACAGCTGGATGTGGGGTCACTCCATGGCACAGCTGGATGTGGGGTCACTCCATGGCACAGCTGGATGCAGGGCATCCCCACGACATAGATGGGTGGATGGATGGATGCGGGGCATCCCCACGACATGGACATGGATGGATGCAGGGCATCCCCATGGCACAGCTGGATGTGGGGTCACTCCATGGCACATCTGGATGCGGGGCATCCCCACGACATGGACATGGATGGATGCAGGGCATCCCCATGGCAGGGATGGATGGATGGATGGATGCGGGGCATCCCCACGACATGGACATGGATGGATGCAGGGCATCCCCATGGCACAGCTGGATGTGGGGTCACTCCATGGCACATCTGGATGCGGGGCATCCCCACGACATGGACATGGATGGATGCAGGGCATCCCCATGGCACAGCTGGATGTGAGGTCACTCCATGGCACAGCTGGATGCAGGGCATCCCCACGACATAGATGGGTGGATGGATGGATGCGGGGCATCCCCACGACATGGACATGGATGGATGCAGGGCATCCCCATGGCACAGCTGGATGTGGGGTCACTCCATGGCACATCTGGATGCGGGGCATCCCCACGACATGGACATGGATGGATGCAGGGCATCCCCATGGCAGGGATGGATGGATGGATGGATGGATGCGGGGCATCCCCACGACATGGACATGGATGGATGCAGGGCATCCCCATGGCACAGCTGGATGTGGGGTCACTCCATGGCACATCTGGATGCGGGGCATCCCCACGACATGGACATGGATGGATGCAGGGCATCCCCATGGCACAGCTGGATGTGAGGTCACTCCATGGCACAGCTGGATGCAGGGCATCCCCACGACATAGATGGGTGGATGGATGGATGCGGGGCATCCCCACGACATGGACATGGATGGATGCAGGGCATCCCCATGGCACAGCTGGATGTGGGGTCACTCCATGGCACATCTGGACACGGGTGCCGCTTGCTGCCAGCCCCGCGCCTGCAAGAAGGTGGTGATGGATCGTTACGACTCGCACACAGCCATCTAAGTAAAAGCCTTATTAAGAGTTCATTTTATAAACTCTCAGTGCGATCCGCAGAGGGAAGTTAGATTGCCCGGTCTTACAATATTCTGTGTAAACACTGACACACATCTAGTAATTTTAACTAGATCAATTTGCAAAGGAGATCAACGGTGGAACAAAAAAGAAAAACCAATCAAATTAAACATGGGGAAACATTCACTGGGAGAAGCTTTAAGAAAACCAGTCGAAAAATACAGAGAAGGACAGATGGATGGACAGAGAGGCAGAAGAGACAAATGAACCTACCTCTGAAGCCATGAAACCCAAGTCTGTAAATCAATATCAAAATCCTTAGGTCCGCAAGATGGGGGAAAAAAGTCCTCCATAGCCATCTTCCGCACATCGCCGAGGCTCTGGAGGCCCTAGCAGTCTGTTTCCCAGAGCACCTCTCCTCCTTCTCCAGCAGTCACCAACCCAGTCGCGACCACGCGGCAGCTCCTCCGGCCCCGGCCCTTGGCGTCCTCCTCCCAGCTTGCAGGATGCTGAGCGCTTGCCTCGCCGTCGGGCGCTTCCCTGCCACCTCCCGCTCCCGGGGGGCTGCGGGCACGACCCCGGCCCCCTGTGCCCCCCGGCTGGGCACCGGCCGGCCGCCGCGCCAGGCCGGCCGCCGCGTCAGCGGTGATCTTCAGTTACGGACAAGCAGTGAGTCCACGGTAGGTTGACAACACACACACGCGCACGAGCGCACATACACACGGGAACACCTCTTTCCGTTTCCAGGATGGATTATTATTATTTTTTTTTTAATCCTTTTTTTTCCTTTTTGCAAAAAAAATGCAAGCAAAAGAGAAAAAAAAAAAACAACCAAAAACCCAAGGTTTTCTATTGAAGGTACATCTCTTCTTCAATATGAAGACATTAACTGGATTGAGTCGGATCCCCCATGCAGTGGTCAGCGAAGTCCTTTGGTAGTTGCCGGAGTGGCACCTGGGTAGGACAGCAGGGAGCTGCGGAGACATCCGAGGACACTTCCACCTGGTCCAGGAGCAGAGAGGGGAGCAGGGTGAGCAGGGAGGGCCGAGGCAGGGAGGAAGAGTGAAACGAGAAGAAAAGGAAGGTGGTTTCTCCGGACAGGATGCTCCGTCTCGTGCCTCTCCCTTCCCCAACAGCCCCTTCCTCCTTCTCAGTTTTGACCACTGCTCACTGGTGGTGGGATTGGAGTCTAGTCTCTAGGGTTTGGGTTTGCTTCCCCAACGCACATTGGTTTGTCTTCACTGTTTTTCATGTTCGTTTTGTTTTTTAAATATACGATTTGTACATATTTATATGTATTTATACGCTGTTCCCCATGACATTGGTAAGTGTGCTTCTGTTGGTGAGGAACGGAAGTCACCAGTCGGAGATGAGTCCCAGGAGCATCCTTCGCCTGCGGTCGCAGTCCCCAGGCAGCGGCGGCACCTTTCCAAACGCTGCCCCGCGGCGCCCGTCAGTTCCTCCCCTCCCACCTCTGCCCCTCCGCTGCGTGCCCTCCCCGTCCCCTCCCCGTCGAACAAGGGTCGTCATGCCATCGAGGTCGGAGACTGACTCATCTGTACTCGCATGGACTGGACACTGTTCAGGATCTTCTTCTGGTGCCCAGCCAAAGTCACCCCTATTCTCAGGAGGTCTCTGGAAGACAGACAGACAGACAGACAGAGGAGTATCAATGGGCAGCTGAGGGTTGGTGTATCTGTTTTGCTGTCATGAAGTGAGGTGAGAGATGCAAGCTCAGCTGGTCCATGCTTTTCAGAAGAACAGCAGCCACAGAGCCCAAGCACAGCCCCATGAGGATCACTGGGGGTGAGGTGGGACCACGAGCGGAGAGACACCCGCATGCTGACCCCCACATGGTGAAGGCAGGATCACTGGGGGTGAGGTGGGACCGAGAGCGGAGAGACACCTGCATGCTGACCCCCACATGGTGAACGCGGCCACCTCCAGATTCGGGGTGCTTCTGCTGACCAATGTGATGTATGCTCACACCCTTCCTTTGCAGGTGCCTTGAACTGACCTTCCCATCTCCCCGCAACCCCAACCCGCCCCGGGCAGCACCCAACTTTCGGGCACCCAACTCACTCGGACGTCATCTGGGCAACAAGCTGCAGGGAGGTGAAGCCAGCGGTCAGGAAGCTGTCCCGATACTGGCTCATCTTCACGGCGCTCAGCCAGTCGTCTACTGAGGTAAAGGCAGTGAAGTCGGGGATGGAGCGGTCGAGGAGGGGCTGAGAAGGCCTGCAAGAGGACACACCGCTGGGGACAAGCCTGGCCGGCGCCGAGGGGCTGCCGCACGTGAGCCCAGCCAGTGCACAGACGTGCTCCCCAATCCACCCCACCGCGCCCTCGGGAACTGCCCTGCTCCCGGGACCCG